TACACAATAAAACAATTATTAAATTGTTTGAATCCAAGCGTGATACTTTTTGATACAATAGGCATGAGCTTAAATTTATCCCCGTTTTTTCCGGATACTTTTTTATCCACCTTATTTTTCCCGTAAGAGTGGGCGTGGCCATTTGTACATTTTATTGGTCTGGCTTCCAGGCTCATCCACGTCCAGCTATTTTTAGCTGTACAAAACAGCTTGTTTTGCTGCTTGATATTTGCAAGTTAAGATTGTGTTTTACCATATTATTTTAATTTATTATCTTAATTATGAACATACTGGTTTGTAGTGCAAACAGTTTTACCATTTACTGCACATTGTTATTCTTCCCCTATGGCTAATGAACTGGAAGTCTCTCCCGTAGGCTTACTTCCGTGTTGAAGAATAAGGTGGTTCCTTGTTTCTTTTCTTGACATTTTCTTGAACAACTACATTTTCATACTTTTTCATAACTTCTACTGTGTGCTTGACGGCAAGATTTCTTGAAATGATTCATTCGATTCAATATGAATATCCTACATTTCTGCCACAATACCAGTTACAGTTAGTGGTAATATAAAAATCTCTTGTAAATGTTGGTGATTTGTGGTTTGAAAAGTCTTCTAACTGGATTGTTGTCGCACAATGTTTCTCCTGTTTTCTATATCGGTGTTGTTGAGAATGTCAGCACTGTTTTATCTGGCTTTAAACTATTAGTATAAATCACTGCGACATCTGTGGTTCGTATCGGAGACCAGGCTCTGCTCCAAACCTCTCACAGCGCTGTTTAATGGTCGCGTGTTAGGGTCCTAAAAATACAATCAAGTCCAAAGCTCAATGTGGGAAATGGTAGTAAAAGGTAATTTATTATTTGAATATATTATTATTTATTAAATCTCATTTAGATGTACTGTGTTCGTTGTCATATCGGACACAAAAATGACGGTGGAAGTGACGTCTTCGGTACCCATGAATAACACATTTCAATATACAAGCTGCGGGCCACTTGAAAGGCACGGGGCGGTCTTTGGACACCCCTGTTCTAAAAGAATAGCCTTTTAGTCCTCTGTCCAGTTTGGTTTACGTTTTTTGTTTTTTTGTGTGATCTTGGTATTCTCCTTAACCAAATATATTTCAACTTTGGTTGTAGTAAAGGTAGGTTTATGGTTCATTATCTTCTGTTTATTGTGAGGCGCCCATTGCCATATGTTTCCAGAAAATACCGTGAAATGCTTAGTATAAACACTTAGGTAAGGGTACTTAAGGCTCTTAAAGAAATCCCTTGCCTCAGGGATTTTTTCCCCCCCTCAGAGATACCCCTAAGTCAAATCACTTAAGGGCTTTCAATGAAACCGAACTCACAAAGAAACAACATAAACATGGAATTTTCCAAATGTTTCACGTTACTCTTCGTTTGGCATTCTGATTAAATAATGGCACATATTATTAAGAACAAAATGAGACAAATACGATCACATGGTACTCAAAAAAATTATATTACCCCTTAAATGAACATAGATACATGTAGCTATTGGCAGATTTCTGTGATCATATGTTTGTCTCCGTTTAAATCAAGAATAGAATATGCACACCAAACCACTGTTACGTCCATATATGTCCTTGTGGGAGTGCCTGTGTTTTTTTTTCTCGCGCTCGGCTCATCCGGGATAAATTAATCCCCAACATTATGGTAATTCTGTAGATGTGTTGGTTGCAAGGAATGGATATTGCATTGTTTGGGGTATTGTGACAGTATAGGACTTACTCATGCGGTGTAGTAGTGTTATTCTTATTGGTTGGTTATTTATTATGGAAGTGTTTAACTTGCAAGATTTTGTTACCAGTCCATCTGTAGAGCAGATTAATTTGTGCAGGAAGCAGGATTTATTGCAGATCGCAGACCATTTTCAGGTTATTGTAAGTAAACAGTCTCTTAAAAAAGAAATAAAACGAATACTGATCTTGCGTTTGAATGAGTTGCAGGTGTGGCCTACGTCAAACGTTGGGGGTGGTGAAACGGGCGGAGTTGTTGATATGGATGGCGTGGCTCTGGCGCAATTCAGTTCTGGGGAGGAGGACAAGCGGAGTGGCGGAGCTGATGCTGACGCGGAGGCCGAAGCCAAGGCCGGCTTACCACTGTTTGAGCCGTTTTCACCCAGTTCTGTTGATTCACGGGAAGGCACATGACTGAAGGTCCGCCTGGCCCGTTTGCATTATGAAGCGGATGAGAGAGCCCAGGCGCGCCAAGCTGAACTGAATTTGCAGTTGGAAGTACGCAAGCTGGAAATCGAGGCAGATAAGCAGGTGAAGCTGAGGCAGCTTGAGCTAAGTGCATCAAAAGTTGCTACTAGCTCAGCTGTACAGCCGGACACCGCTCACGACTCTTCTCCTTCTCTTGCTGTGAGTCCTTCACTTCCTGTGAAAGGTGTTGTTATTCTTGGAAATGACCTGGCAGGTGGAAAGGTAATGCCTGTTATTGAAGTTGTTGATGAACCAGATGCGTTTTGTGAGTTAGAGGCACTGTCTGAAACTTACCCTGATGTTTTTCCAGCCTGCGCCGTTACGCGCGCTCAGTCGCGTAGAGTAGGTGATGTAGTTGATCTGTCTAATTCATTCATGTTTCCACTGTTGTCGGGTGACACATCATTGGATATGAGTCTTGAAAAGGAAAACAGTTCAAAGACAGAAAACAAAGATGTAATTGTGTCTGATGCAGATATACTCAAATTACCAGTGTCACGTGAGAGAATTATTGCTGCGCAGAAAGAGGATAAAACTCTTGTGATTTTTTTTAATTCTGCTATTTCCCTTGATGTGGCTAAGGATAATAAAGTTGCTTACTTTATTGATAATGACTTACTGATGAGAAAGTGGTGTTCTCATGTTGACAAGAATTTTGATTGGAATGTTGTTTATCAAATTGTTGTCCCGTTTTCCTATCGTCAACATGTCTTGTGCTTAGCTCATGATCACCAGCTTGCTGGTCATTTAGGAGTTACGAAGACATATAATAGGATTTTGAGTCATTTCTTTTGGCCAGGATTAAAAAAAGATGTTACTCACTATTGCCGTACTTGTCATACCTGTCAGATTGTTGGGAAACCAAACCAGAGAATTCCACCCGCTCCTTTGTCTCCTATACCTGCGATTGGAGAACCGTTCGAACATGTGATGGTAGACTGTTTTACCCCTAGACCATCTTAAAGGGTCGTAACACCACATATTAAGTTTAATAAAAAGACAGTTGCATCTGTGCCAATTTACTGTAAATTGGGTGTGCTGATTCAAAACAAGTAAATCAAGGATACAGAATTCAATAAACAAATCACATATTAAGTTCAATGAAAAAAAGAAGACCAACTATCAATAGATTTACTGAACAAATATGAATCGTTACACAGAGACACTCTTTTGAGACTTGAGACTCTTGTTGCATTTTAAAAATTTGATCCATTTCTTGATTCAAAATTCTGGTCGTTTGCCCTCATATTTCAGTGAATTTACCATGTGATTTAGTGTTCAGATTCCATTCTATTCTTGATTTACTTCTTTTGAATCAAAATGCTTGATAATTATTTACAATATGAGTTGGCACAGACACATTGTTTTTTTCCTTTTTGTCTTCATTTACTCACTGCTCGTTTGACAGATGAGCTTCCATTATGTTAAATCAGACAATTTTTGTGAGCAAGGTGAGTTGGCAAAGTGATATAAACTGTTAATGAGTATCCTTCTAATGTAGAAAGTGAAGCCCTCCATGTTTTTGACTCAGAATAAATAACTGTGAGTGTTTCCAGTAAGCTAAGATGCTTTCCTGTCAATAACATGAATATATGTATCTCGTTAGGCATGTAAATGATTGCTTCCTACATTATGGTGAACATGCTTTAATGCTTTAGTGCAACTTAAGACTTTTGATCAATGCAAAGCCAATACGTTCTGTAAGGCCATTGACCTGAACTGATCTGCACCTCATTACCAGTAACTAAATGCTGTATGTGCATACATTACATGTGCAGTTCAAAATGCATTCTGCCCGGGCACCACACAGGGAGCCTATTTGTTTGCTGTTTTTATGTCTGTAGATGAAAAAAATGACAGCTTTGTTGCGACAACCACACACCATTATCCACATATCACAGACTACTCAGTACTTTGGGTTAGATCTCAGTTTTAAGAGTTGTATTTTAATTATTATACGGTTTGGCACATATACTGTAACTCACATAGATGTTCATTGATTCATCTTAATTTCATTAGTGATAATTCACAGTTTTCCTTAAAAGTGAAAAATCTAATTAAGTGCTGGTGTTTTCACACTTGGCGATTCTTTTGGAGTTTTTTTTATTTTTATTAAAAGGCAAAACAGAAATGTGGAAGATTTGGGCTCTAAAACAGAGGACTTTTCTTGCACGAATGGAAATCTTGCTATCTATATACACACAAGCATGTTGTCACATGCGAATAGACACAAACACATGCACTCGGATCTTTCTCACCTACTAAACACACACACACACACACACACACACACACAACGAC